CTGCCAAGCTCATTGACAGCTAATAGGTGAGGCGGACAGGATTTGCTATTTCTTGTTTTCATTTAATTCATAGGCAGAGAGGCTGTTGCAGAGGAACCATCCATCTACGAGTTGACTGCCCAAATGAGCACAGCAGCCAGAGCCACGTCAGACCAAAGCCCAGACTGCAGCAGGGTCTCCCATGTACCTGAGCCGCCATCAGCCACGTCCCAGGCTCTCATCAGGAGGCAGCTGGATAAAAAGCAGAGATGCAGTTAACTCCAGGAGCAGCTCGAATGGGAGGCAGGGGTCTCAAGCACCTTCATCAGTGCCTCAAACATGACAGAAAAGGAGAGAGCAACTTCACTGTGACCCGTTTCTGTGGCCACGACAGCCGAGAGCCTGCTGGGTGCAGGAGCTAGCTGACGGCGTGTCTCGGGCCGTGTGAGTCAGTCAGCCTGTGAGTGTTAGGAGCGAGCTGCGTGAGGCTGCATCAGCATCTGGCCACCTCTACAATTTGTCGTCCACTCCCTGCTGCTCCTTTGCAGAGGAGACGAGTGATCCTGGCAGCGAAGGTGCAAGCAATGGGTGTCGTCCTGTGAGTGCACCCACCTAACCACTCGCTGCCTTTCATCACCAAGGGAACAGCCCTTCTCTCTCTTAATAAATCACTATGCACAACAGTAATTTACAGATGAACCACGGTCTAAACCTGAAGGAGGGAAATGGCCCGAGTGTTAAGTGGGAAAATAAGAAATGAGAGACCCTAGGAAACTATTCCTCTCACATCTAGCCATCTGTGGTCTTGATGACGGTATATATAAAAGAATTAAAGGTATATTAACCTTCAAGACTTTTGTTGTACAATGGATAGTTGTACTCTACCTTTAGAAATTATATCTGCAATTATATTACTTAATACGTTAATAGATTGTCTCTACAAGATGTTTCTAATCATCGAGATATGGACTATAAGAACAAAAGAAATGTGGAGTTTAAGTTATGATAAGAGTATTAAAATCCTGTTGCTAAGAATGGAGAGTTGCAAGTTCTATGTTCCCATCACCTTCTTTAAATAATTGTCTGATCTATTTCATGCAAGCGAAGTAGGTGATGAATACAAATGCTTCTCTCTGTAGAGCACTCAGACTTGTATTTGCAATGCCAAGGGAAAGGAGGTGCCTGGTCAAACCAAGTAAATTTGGGGGACTTTCTTTTTTAACCTCATTGAGGTAACAAACACGTGCAGAAGCATGCTACCCTCTGGCCAGCAGTGACGCCGCTGCTTCAGACAAGGGCACCCCATTTCAGCTTCCAGCTCATGTACCTCTTGGGAGGATGGAACTGACTCAAGGAGCTGAGTCCCACCATCCGCGTGGCCTACCCTGGACTCCTGGCTCCCAGCTTCAGACTTGGCCAAACCCTGGTCATCCCAGTCATTTGGGGAGTCCACCAGGAGCTGGGAACTGGCTCCATCTCTGCCTACCATTTTTTATGTGCATTAGCCCTGAGAATAGAGAATGGTCAGCTATTCTTCCTGTACAGCCACGACTCAAATGCTGCAGTATTCCATTGTCCCATAAACTCCCTTCAGGTCCCCCGGCCAGCAACCAACCTCCACCTGACAACACACACATACAGACCTCGTGCAGCCAGGGCAGCTCATGTTAACACTGAATGCTTGAGCCCGCTCAGGGACATCACACGAGTGGGATTCTACAACACGCACTCCTTTGTATATGAATTTCTGTTTTGACACACACAAAAAAGCTGTTGGATCTAACAGACTGTTGTATGGAGTTGACTCTTCTATTTATTATGGCTGTATTGTTTTATGTTGCATGAATATAAGCAGACATGTTTATGCATTTGTCTACTGATCCCTGTATTGTTTTCAGTTTTTGTGCGTCATGTTGTTTTAAGAATCAATGAGCTAAAACAAAGCACAAAATGCTGAAAAGACTGAAGAGCTAAGCGGGGACCCACACTGCTTGAAACCTGAGGAATCTCCTGCTTCTGGTGAACTTTCCATCAGATCCTGCAGGAGGAGCCAGCCCCAGCCAAGCTATACAGGAAAGGGGACTCGAACAGGAACACCTACATTAAGTTGGGGTCTTTATTTTCAGGAAAATAAATAAATAAATAAACCTAGTTGTGCAGGCGGCTACAAAGCAAACAGTCCAAGGAGGAGAAGGGAAAGAAAACCACACCAAGAGTCAGCTTCTCCAAACTAGACCCTAGGGGTTTGCAGTCCAATCTGTGACACTCCTCCCAAACGGGTTCAAGCTTCCCCAGGATGTTATAACTCCCCAGGATAAAAGAAATGTAAATTCCTTCTGGCAGAATTTAGTTTCAACTACAGCCTCCAAGATTCCCCGAAGGCTTAAAAATAAATAAATAAATAAATAAATAAGCGATGAAATTCACAGGAAGGAAAGTGCAAAGCCAGATCCAACTGCGACAGACCGACCGAGATACTCAGAATCAGAACGCAAGTCACAGACCTCAAAGAAGGTGGTGACTGCGAAGTGAAATCAGCAGGCAAGAACATGAGTGAGAAAGAGAGTGCCAAGGAACCAGCATTGAGGCAGTGGCTCACCCAACTTAAAATGTAACAACTAAAAACAGAAACCCAAAGGAGAGGAAACAAGGAACGTGGACAGAAGCCGTTCCGGAACAGAAGTAAGGCCAAATGCACTGATGCCACGATGCCCACAGAATGACAAACAATGCCAGAACAGAGTCCACGTCAGAACACAGGCTGGTCAGTGCACAGAGTCCAGAGGGAGGCGAGAAGGCCTGAGTGCTCCTGCATGGGAGGCAATGAGAGTGGCACCCAACATCTCCACAGGAACCCAGGAAGCTGTGCCAGGAGGACTCTGACCACATCTTGGACGCACTTTATCAACTTGGAACTACAAGTTAAAAACCTATACGAAATAAAGTCCTCTGAAATAAACAAATACGACAGAGTTTGCCTCCAGCAGACTGGTGTTGGAGCGAAGGTGTATGCTCGGGCCTAGCGGCTAGGACACCTGCGACCTACATCGGACAACCTGAGTTCCATACCCAGCTCAGCATCTGACTGCTTTCTGCAAAAGCAGACCCTGAGAGCAGCAGTGCTGGAAAAAGTCATGCCCCGCACGTGGTTCCAGCTTCAGGCACTGGCAGGTGCCCCTAAAGGCATCTGAGGAAAGAAGTAGCACTCCCAGGTCACTCTCTCATCGCCCCACCCCTGCACACACACACTCCACCACCACACTCTGCCCCTGTGTCTCTCAAATATAACGAGCAAATAAAAAATTACTACAGGCAGGAGAACGGTGCCAGTCCACCTGGCACCGTTCGAAGATTCGAGAAAGGATGTAGGATCAATGTTGTACATATGCAAAGCAGATACAACAGAATCTTACAGGATACCAAAGAGTAAGAACAAGTGGATGACACCTTGTAAACTGAATGGAAGAGTAATTAAAGCATTCTGTGGTCTCTGTGGGGACTGGGGAAAGGCACTGATGAGCTTCATGCTTAATGATGAAGTGCGCTGGTCACATTTTTAGAGGACTACCAGAATAGATGCAGAGCCAAGAACAATGAGAAAAGAGGGAAAGAAAGACTGAGAAAAGATGAAACAGAAACACATCTGAAAATAAAGGTCACTTGCACTGTTTTTCAGATTCACTGATGTATTTGCAAGTTAGACCCAGAGGAGGACATGGAGACAGGGAGGTAGGGAGGCTGAAAGAGAATCAGGAGGGGAAAGAGGAAGAGAGAGAGATCAGTCTTAGTTGCTACTTCATTCCCCAAGCGCGCTGAAACGAGGAGCCAGGAACTCCGCGGGTCGGCCACGGAGCCACGGGACCTCCGGAACTGAACCATCCAGAGCCTCCCAGGCTCATTAGCTGGCACCTGCATCAGGAGAGCAGCAGGGTCTTGAACTGGCATCACAACACAGGACGGGGGAGTGGCAGCTTGAACTACTGCACCACCATGTCCAAGCTGCCAATAGCTTCTAAGTCCATTAAATGTTTTCATTAAAAGATACAGTTGTCAAAATTTGATTAATAAGAATTCCAGACAAATGCTGTTTACAAGAGCTCCAAAATTTGATACAGAAACTATGAAGAGAATGGAAAAGATTTATTGGGAAAGTACTAATTTTTAAAAAGTTGAAAAGATTTTTTTTCATTAACAGGTATGTTAATCCAAAATACAATAAATATTAAGACAAAATAATCACTGGACAAGAAAGGGGCAATTCATGCTTACAAGATAAAAATTTTAACACCTAGGAACCTGGAATCATTCCCAAATCTATAGGCACGCACAAACACAACTTGAAACTATATTAAATAATGATCAACAGAATTTGTAAAAGCTCAAGGGTCGTGTCACCCAAGCACAGCCAATTAATGTTTCTCAAAACTGCAAAATGAGTTCCACAGAGGAAGACATCTTTTCATGAAGCAGTTCTAGAGAAACTTCTAGATTCTAATACAAAATGAACCTCGATTTAAATCTCATAACTTGCACAAAAAATGATTACAAAATGGCTCTGAAGTCTACAGGTAAGAGTTAAAATTATAACACTTTCTACTTTTCCCACAGAAAATCTGTGGGACCTGTGGCTCAGAGGAGACATCCCAGATATCATAGCACATGCCATGAAGAAGAAAAATCCAGAATCTAACGATGGTTCCCAGGTCAACAGCCATCTATGAATATGCAAAGAAAATCTACAGACTGGGAGGAAATATGAAGATTTTCATATGCCAAAGATGTCTATTATCTAAACTAGGTAAGGATAGATCGAGAAGTTAAAGCAAAATGGAACTGAATGATTTGGGTACAAAACTTTTTGAAATCTCTGAGTAACTTTTTTATTATGATGTACATCTTCTTTGAACTTACTGAAAACATCATGCAAAAAAAAAAAACTCCTCAAAACTCAACAGTAAAAATTAATGCAGCTGGATCATGGGCAAAGAACATAAAGACCCACTTCACCAAGGAGAACTTACAGAGAGCAAAAAAGTCCAAAAAAGGTGTCAGCCCTACCTACCGTACCTTCGAGTAACGGACGCAAACAACACGACAAGGCAACATGATCGAGTCCATTCATGCCGCTGACGTTCAGGGAGAGTGCCAAGTGCTGGCAGGGATGCAGGGAGAGCAGATCTCTCCAACTCCGCTGGTGTGACGAGTCAGGGCAGCCACTCTGAAAAACACACAACAGCCACTTTTACAAGGAAGCGCCCACATCATCTAACCCAGTGCTTGCGCTTCGGGACCAAAAGAAACCAAGCAGTTAGAAAGCAAACACCTGCACACATACATCCACGCCAGCTTTTCCTGTACTCGCCGCAAGCTGAGAGCATGACCCATGAGCAACTACAGGCAGGGGACTGACTGAACAAAACCTGCCCTGTCCCTGTCCCATACTGCAGCCCAGCAGGGAACGCAGCATCTGGCGTGGATCTGCAGGGCAGCAAACAGGTTCAAAAGCCCATCTCACAAGGCAGCCTATCTTGAAAGTCAGGTTTTATAACATCATCTAGAAAATGAAGTGACAGCAATGATGAGCCACCTTGTGGCTGTCTGAGGATGCTGGTGGCAGGGAGGGGTTCCGTGGAACTGTGAGTCAGGCCATGGTTCTGGACCTCTTTACTATGAGTCAGCATCCTAGCAGCAACCCCAGCAGGTGCATGCACAGGCATGGTACCACGGGCTGCTTTGGGACAGCCAGTGCACACAAAACTCCCCTAACAGGGAGCCAGAAGGGTAAACTGGGTGAGCACAGGCCTGCAACTTCCTTGCAACCTATTATTTAAAATAAAACATAAAATTGACTTCAAGAAATCCCTCAATGCAGTAGTAATTAGCTGGCCCAGAGGTATAACACAGGGCAACCCAGATGTGAACAGCTCCATCCAAGTACCTGTAGCAGAGTGAACTCAATGAACACACTCTACTTTTCTACAACCCGCTGAAATCATTCCAACATGTATGTCTCCATTCAGCCCCATGAGCAACATGAAAGCACCACCAACCAACTAGAATAGAAGCAAAGTGATGAACTCTTAATATCCTACTCACAATACAATCAGAAAGAAACTGAAAACTGAAAAACTACATATGTTTGCAAGTTAAAGGGCATTTTTATAAACAGTTAAAGAGCCAAATCAGAAATCAGAATTATATTGAGAAAAAAGTCACTGAATGGCAATGGCATATGGGGAAAAAAAAAAAAAAGAGTTCTGTGGCCAAAAGCAGCTTTCAGAAAAAAGTCTGTGGCTTTAAGAATGGGGGGGGGGGCCCCGGCGCGGTGGCGCAAGTGGTTAAAGGTCCTTGCCTTGCACGCCCGGGATCCCATATGGGCGCCGGTCGGCAGCCCCGCTTCCCTTCCAGCTCCCTGCCTGTGGCCTGGGAAAGCAGTCGAGGACGGCCCAGGGCTTTGGGACCCTGCACCCACGTGGGAGACCCGGAAGAGGCTCCTGGCTTCGGATTGGCATAGTATCGGCCCGTTGCGCTCACTTGGGGAATGAACCATCGGACGGAAGATCTTCCTCTCTGTCCCTCCTCTCTGTATATCCGCCTTTCCAATGAAAAAATAATAAAAATAAATCTTAAAAAAAAAAAAAGAATGGGGGGGAAGCAGAATATAAGCAATTAGGCATCCATTCCGAATGTTCTAACATGAGCTACTGCAGAGACCAAAAGGATGCAGAAGTGAAGGACAATGGGAAAAGGAACTAAACACGCATAAACCAAGGATACAACAGGCTCAACAAAGCCCAAATCATGGCAAAACCCATTGAGAGAGAGAGAGAAAGAAGTACCAGAGACAACAGGGGGACTGAAGCAGGGATGAGCACAACAAATTTCAAAGTTGGATAAGATGGGCGAGCATAGAAAAACACAACTAAGACAAACTGCCTGGGCAGTGGGAAAGCTGAAGTGGTTTCTAGCAGTTTACTAACTGCACAGGTGCGGGCCTCATCCTTAGAATACCCTGCATCCTCTCCTGCCAGCTCCAGCAGAAACACGCCAGAGTGGACGAAGATTGCACGTAGCTGTGGCTGCATGCCAAGTCCCTGGTCAGTAGCAGAGTAATGGGATAATGCAATTGCCTGGAGGCACCTGGTGAGGTCAGCGTGTGGCCAGCCTTCAGGAGCCAGGTGCTGCAGCCAACACAGCTATCAGCATTTCCTAACAGGGAGGGGTGGGGGGATTCTGAAGTCACCAAAGGGCGTAGAGACCATGGTATCCACTTTCACACCACACTACTCAGCTGTAAGATTCAACTGGCACTGCACAGGACTCCCCACGTTTCCCCACAACAAAATGAAGGCATCCACAGAAATCCTTCATCAGCACGATATCTGATGGCAGTGGAATGGAAAATAATGTGCTCTAATACCAGGCTATGAGCCTGCAGGGACTTTAAGAAATAATCTAAAACATGGGGAAAAAAACAGGGCTTGAAGTGGGTATCTGGCACAGCAGTTATGAGGCCACATGGGAGGCCCAGGCTGCAGTGCCTGGTGCCAAGCACCAGCTTTCTGCCAACATACCCTGGATGGAAGGCAGTGGTGCCAGCTCGAACACAGTGGTCCCTGCCACACATGAGGGGGATCTGAACTGAGTTCCATGGTCCCAGCTGCAACTGCAGGCATTTGAGCAGGGACCAAGGCATTCCTGCTCTCTGTCTCTCACAAAGGATGGACATCAATTAAGACTGCATCAACTGGGCTTCAATCAAATTTCACTGCAAACCTGAATATTCCATTTTCCACACAGAGCCAGTTCATTTAGAAGGCAATTTACCCTTTTAAAATAAACAGTAACAAGGAAAAAAAAACACACCCACATATTGAGAGATCTGAGACACAAACTCTATTAGAAAACCTGGAACTGTGGGTTAACCTTGAACTCCTTAGATCGTTTGGTTCCTGTGTCCGCCTGGATCTATGAACTTCCTCAAGAACCTTGAGGTTCTCATTTATACCTGAACAAGGGCCAGTTGGACGTGACTCCCACCTCCAGGAGTCACATCAAACAGGAGACAAAAGCCATTAACAGTGATCAACTGACGCCAAGGAAAATTCACAGAGCACAAGAAAAATGCTTTGTTTTCTAGCTATTTGTTTTTCGGACATCACATTGATTTTCACAGTAGCATATTTATGACTGACTTAGTGTTGGTCTCGCAGCCCCAAGGGGACTATGAGTTCCAGAAACGGAGCTCTATTCCAAGTAAACAAAAGTAAGGCATGGCAAAAAAAAAAAACTCTCAGCTAGCTCCCTCGTCCTTCATCCTCGCCCTCACCCCTGCATCCATCAACAGATGAAGGAATATTTTACCATTTTTATTGTCTAAAAGAAACCAAGACATTAGACTTATAAAATGTAACATGCATTATTTTAACAAGCAAATGTGGAGAACCTGTTCCATGTACTATTTTGAAAGATATTGGGTTGAATATTCTTCACCAAGTTGAAAAGGGAAAATGACAGCTCCTAGCAATTTCCCTATTATTTCATTTTGTAGAGCAAATCTGGATTTATCTGTTTATTCATTCATCTGTGTATTCCTATACATCAGACACATCCAGAACACTTCAGATGTCCTGGGCCCCTTTCTGTGTCTTCATGAGGATGACAGTAATGACAGCCTCTTCTTGAGGCAGTGCTGGGTAATAAGGAGCGAGGAGAGAGGACAAGGGGAGCTTCGTCCATTTCCACACTGGGGCCCACTTCATAATGGGCCACCAGCAGGACACGGGACAGGCACAGCTGCCCGGACAACTCCCCCAGAGAACTACAAAGCCTCACCTTGGCAACACCTGCTGCCTGAGATTCTCAGCAGGAAGTCCAGTCCCTACCTCACCACGGCTGTGTGTTGGTTGCCTTGCATTTGTTCTAGGTCAAGCTAGAGAAGGTGAATCCAGAAGACACCAAAGCTTCTCTCCACATGGAGAGCTAATCCAGGAGGGGGTCAGGATCAGACACGCGATGCTAAGTCCTAAGTCGGTTCTTTTTTATCTCTCTGCATCTTAGTCTCTTGCAGACAAACTAGAAATGTTAATACCTGCTTCCTGAGCTGCTGCTGAGGATGAAAGAGTAATAAGGTATTTAGAGCTGTGATTGTCACATAAAAGTTCAATAAATGTTTACTACTGACATAATCTCACTGCATACTGATGAGGAGACTGGGAAGGCCCATTCAGACACAGACTGCAAATGGAGGACCACAGTGCAATGGAAATATCAGGTCCACAGGAAAGCAAAACTGAGTCACGACTGTGATGAACTGGTTCAACCAAGGACCTGAAGAAAGGATGACAAGTCTAAGCAACTTCTCTCATTTGCCTGATTGATCCAGAAAATCACCACCCCACACTTCCTGCTTCAGATAAAGTATTACTGCTCTCATTGCCATCTACGCCCCCAGGTGAGGGCAGGAGCCCGAGCAGCTGGGCCGCCACCTGCTGCTTTCCCAGGCACACTAACAGGGAGTATACGGGATGCTTAGGCTGCAAGTGGTGACTTAACTTACTCTGCCACAATTCCAGAAGCCACACCCACACACACCTCTTTCTATTTTTTAAATATTTATTCGAAAGGCAGAATAACAGGGAGGGAGGGAGAAACAGAGAGAGATTTTCTCTGTTGATTCACTTCCAAAACAGCTACAACGGGCAGGGCTGGGTCGAGGTGAAGTCAGTAGCCAGGAGCTTTCTCCAGGTCTCCCAAAGTACTTGGGTCATCCTCTGTTGCTTTCCCATGCACTCTGCAGGGAGCTGGATTGGAAGTGGAATAACCAAGAAACAAGCAGGCATCCCTATGGGATGCCAGAATAAAAGGCAGTATCTTAATCTGCTCTACCACAATGCCAGCCCCCTACCCCACTTCCAATTCCCTTTCAGATTCAAACACAAACCACCTTCTACACCTTTGCTTGAGAATCCGTTCCCTCATTCTTCACCGATGTCCTACTCAGAAACATGTCATCAGAATTATGCATTAAGATCAAATGTCATAAAATGCTAATTTATTCTGACAAGACTAAATTAGACAAGAGTTTTCACACCTGAGTGCATGCGATGGTGACCGACCGCGGCACTGCAGTCACTGACCACGGACTGTGTGCGAGACGGTATTTTCCCTCGGACTAGGATGTATGTTTTCTCCCAGCCTGCTCAAGGCGTCAGTGGG